CCTTAGCTAATGGAATTTATTTTGTTTCGGGTGTGAGACCGCTATCTACCTCAAGCAATGGATTAACGTTGTGCAATATCGTGAATTGGTAAAGGTCAGATGCTGACACCGAAGGGTACCTGCTCATTGATCTAGGGATTACGCGTGTGAGTGCGAGATTGAAGATCCTAGGTTTAGTTCCTGCTTGTACTTTTGGGGATTCGCTCTACTGAAGAGTCTAATACTAGGAAGAAACTTCCATCTATTGGTTCTAGGTTTTTAAGTGAGGTTTAGTTGAAATCAGCTTTTGATTCATGAGCGATGCTTAATCGTTGATACTCACTGATTCTTCATAGCTTTCTTCATCGAAATTCATCCGTTTAAAGCTGTAATTAATCATTATCAACACGTTTCACTTTAATTAATGATGACTGAGTTCTTCTCTCACTCTTTCATATTATTTTATCAGGAATATGATTTGTATTACATTTACAAATATACAAATTAACACTTATTTCATAATATCTATAATTTAGTTAGCATTGTATTTCTCTCATTCATACAAGTGAATAATATCAAAAAAGTTTCAGATTTTACAATAGATATGTTACTTAAACATGATAATGTAATCAGATTCTTTATGTTTTCAATAATAATAATGAAAGTAATCATATCTGATTGTTAAAAAATGACCACATAAAAACCATATATTTTATATACTATGTATGCCATGCTTTTTTATTAGTCAATACTTTATTCAACCAATTGGTGTGAATAAATTCATTAATTTTTTAATTAAATTAATAAATAATATGATTGATTATTATTTTCATACATGAAACCTATGATATAATTTGAGGGAAATTAGGAAGAAAAAAAAGAATTATGGTATAGCATGAAAGTGTTTCAACGTTTTCGTATTTATCTTGTATTATCTATATTGAAGTAATTATGATGTTCATTAGTTGTTTTGTAAAATATGCTATTCTGCATTCCTTACTTTTTTTTAAAAGGTGTACACATGAAATATTGTTTTTAGTAATATAATATTGATTTAAAAAAGATAGTGAGATGAAGGTTTTGTCTAAACTAGTTAAGTGTTATTTAACTTGTCTGCATAAATTCTCTTCTTGATTTATACTGTATTTATATTCAGTTGATGAGATGATTCTTGTTTTAAAATGAATAATTTTATACTCATAATGTAATACTTAAATTAATACAAATAGAATTCTGAAAAAACTATATGAGTAGTTGGAATGATCTAGTAAACTTTTTAACTGTGTATCTTCTGACTGAAAGAAATTGCTTATGAGTTAAACCATGAGTTATAATTAGAGAGTACTTAGATGTTAATTTACACTATCCTAACAATTATAACGTGAATGATATGAATGACTGGGGAATAAATCACACTGCACTATGTATCAATTTCTGTATGTTCATCTTGGACCATGAATTTTTTTGAAATATTCAGTTTTTTCATTCATATTGTGAAAATAGTTATGGATTACTCCATAATATCTGATAATTTTCCAAATAGATCACCTTGTAATTATCATTATTCTGTTAAGTGTTTCTCATATATGGATATATATATGTAAATTGTTTTTCACTTAATTGTTTTTTAATAACAATTACAACGGAAATAAGCTACGAACTACATGTAATTTTTCGTCACATTGTAATTATAATCCAATTAGTAGTAAATGGATTGAACGAATAACTATTGATGCTACAAGTAAATGATTCTTCTTGTAATAAGTATATTTATAATTATCGATAATAATCATGTTAATATCATTAGTAAATCTATTACTGTTAGTTTGATTATTACCTCATATGGTGGTAAGAAAATAGATATTATTATTTGCTTTATCATTCCTGTTTGTTTTTGTGCAATTATTCCGTAGGCATAATATTAATTGCTTATTATTTTAACTTATAAAGCTGTATGAACTGCTAACCTTGGGTAACATGGTCGTTGATACTTCACGATTTTTCTGTACAACACAAATTTAACTTATTAGAGATAAATAGTAGGCAAGGAAATAACCTATTTAAGTAAAATGCCTTATTTACTGTTTGATATGAAGTATTATTCTGCTATAATATTCGTAACTTAAAAATAAATGTATAAATAAGACAGGGTTAATTCAAATAAAAAAATTACTATAAATTTTTTCAGCATATAGACTGTGATTGAGTATGAACAGATTTCTGCAAGATTTAAAGTATCGGAATGCTCACTGTAATCGTTATAATAAACTGTTACAAGTATTTTTTGTGGTAGTAATAAACTTAATGTGATGACATAACTAGAAATTGATCACATTATTACTAGACTCCATCGTTCTTAACTTTGTAACATGATGTCGTGTTTATTTTAGATAACTTTTCTGCTCATTTTAATAAGTTCTACTTACATATTATATGCTGTTCATAAATACTATAATTTTAATTAACTGTTATAAAACGTGTCATCTTGCTATTTTTTTTGGCTAAAAAGTGAACAGAAAATTCATATACATATTTTCAGTTTTCACCTCGCCCGTCGTGTCACCTTATGGTTCGATTTTAAGAATGACCTATAAACTGTTTTATATTTGTGTACTTGAAAAACAAATTTGTTACACTTTTAAAGTGAATGAACAAAGAGAATAAATGTAATACAAGTGAAAAAAAGGTTAAAAGAAAAGATATAGCCAAGCAGCAACGAAAAAAAAACTAATAATGAACGTTTCATAGAAAGTTTTAACGATTACTAACTGGTACATTTAAAAAATAGATCATCTGAGTAGTTATAATTATTATTCATAGAAATTCTAATTGTGAATTAGATGTTTGAAGAATGAAACTTTGAACTGTTAAATTAAAAAAACATTGTAAATTTTAATATTTCTGGATAAAATATTCAATATTAAGAAATAATATGGAAATACTGCAATATGTCAAGATGTGAGTGAAGTGTTTTAAGACTATAATTGGATACTTCATTTGTTAGTCATCACTATTTAAATTAATTGTTATGTAGAATTCCAGTGATTATCTTAATTTCTTCCATCCTTAGTCACTTTTAAAGTTGTTCTTTTTTACGTTTATAAAGCTTAATGTGAAAGGAAGATAATTCACTTCATGAGAGTAATCCAAAGTAATCACAACTCAAAGTAAACATTAGGATAGTGTCTTAAAAATTTCTAGATATAAAGTTATTATTTAACAGTTATCATGTATACTCTAACGCGATCATCTCAATATTTCCTTGTGATGAATTTTACACGCTTCATTTATTTTAAAATAACATTCTATCTACCTAACTTATTAAAATTTATGATTGAGATTATGAACCGATTGATGTGAGACCACCGTTGAAAACCTGAAAGCACTGGATGGCCGTTTCGTCCTATTGTTCGACCCCTCAGCAGTGTGCACCCACGACCTCTCTTGCGGGATTCAAACCAAAGGCCCTCAGTCTCGCGCACGAACGCTTAACCTACTGACAACTGAGCCAGCATCCAATGGTATTAGTGTCTAACATCAACCAATCCATGAAATCGCGCGAACATCTTCCATTGTACTAAGGTAGATACCTGTCTCTACCGAACACGGATTAGCTCCAATGGTCACAGCTTCTCACTAGAACTCCGAGAATTTTCTTACGAAGCTAGTCACTAGTGAGCATATGTTAATTATCAGTATAGGGGTTGTGGAGATTATTAAGTTTTTGATTGAGATCATGAACTGATTGATGTTAGAACAACGGAAATTAACTACAAAATACATGTGATACATATAATTGAAAATTATATAAGGTAGACGTTTCAGTATAATTACTTTTGATCGTGTAAACTACTCTGATCGGCGTTTTTTTAAGCGAGTTGTTTTTCTACGGGATGAGGTCGGTAACTACATTCATAACCCCTCTCCTTTATCCGGGTTTGGAACCATCACTAACCCCAAAGGAGCTCCAATGTAGCAGCAGCCTCAGCAGAAGTAGGTCTCAACATACACAAAGGGATAAGTAAGATTGTCCGATACAAAACAGCATGCACTAATCGAATCACACCTGACGGAGACGCTTTGGAGGATGTAAAAAGAATTCAATACTATAACACAATAGCCATTAATTTTTTCCCTAGTTTTCAATGAATATCCAACTATATTCAAACTATGATGTAAACTAGAAACTAATCAGATAAAATAGACTAAACTAGAAGTTTACATATCTGAGCAGCATCATTGATGAACACGATGGGTCTGATGCAGATGTGAACGCGCTGATCAGTGAAGCAAGAACAGCATATCTACAACCGAAGAACATATGGGACTCAAAATAACTGTCAACCAACATCAAAATCACAATTTTCAATATGAACGTCGAGACATTCGTACTATACGGAGCTGAAACTTGTAGAACTGCAACAACCATCATCAAGAAGGTAAAAGTATTGATAAATAGCTGTCTACGCAAGATACTCAACATCAATTGGCCGGATACCATCATCAACAGCCTTCTGTGGGAGAGAACAAACCAGCTTCCAACTGAAGAGGTAATTAGGATAGGTCGATGGAAATGGATAGGACATACATTACTCAAATCATCAAACTGCATCACGAGTCAAGCCCTAACTTGTAATTTGAAGGGAAACGAGAAAGAGGAAGGCCAAAGAACACACTATGTCGGGAACTGGAAGCAGATATGAAAAGGATGAATAACAACTGGAAAGGTTTGTCAATGACAGAGTTTGATAGAGGATTCTGGTGAGCGACCTATGCTCCCCATCAGGGGTCACATGCGTTAGTTAATAAGTGTGAATATTATTCATTAACCAGGTTTCTCTCATAATTCTAACAAAAATAATGTATAGACAAAATATGTAATCCTAAGTAGCTTTGTTCAAAATTCTCTTTAAATTTATGTTTAGTGAAATTTTTCTCCATGTTTTTATATATAATACAATACGTTTTACAGTGGTAACTTTTCGCATTATTTTTTCTTTTTGTTTTTACTATCTACTTAGTGATGAAGGATTAAGAAAAAAATTTTTTACAGCTCTCGAAGATTTACGAATACATGGACCGCCTGGTATATCACGGCATCCAGGACCAAGCCATATAAGCTATCAATGGATTTGTGATATTTGGTTAAAACATCATTTAGGTCTTGTACAACTAATTCCTATATTTTCAATAAGACGTGTGGATGGTCGAATGTTGTCTAGTTTAATTACATACAAACGTCCAAAACATTCCATCCAGCATAAAAATAGACGAAAAAGTAAAGATAATCATAATTATGATAACGATAATTGCTATGATATAATAATTTCTAATCCCAATGATGATATTCCTCTTTCGAATTATTCACAACAGAATCTTATCAATTTGAAAACTAATCAAATTAATGGTAGTAATAATAATAATAATGATAATATTAGTAATCATTCAAGTGTTAAAAGTATTTCGTCTGTATCTTCCACAAGCAGCATAACGAACGCTGTTCAAGATTCCTGCAGTCATAGTAATGGCAGTAATAAGTATGATAATGGTAATGAATATATAGAACGTAATTGGCAAGTTGGTGGACGTAAAGAAATGTTACATATTTTATTAGGTCTATCGCATACATCATCATCATCGTCGTCGAGTAGTGGTGCAGATTTATCTGTAGATTCTAGATATTTACTTGGCAAAAAAGAGGCTGAAAGTTTACGTACTGCTATTGAATTATTGCATCATCATAATTTTAATATAGAGGTGAGTATTCAGATTTCCAGGGTTATACCTGTAATAAAACAAATAGATTTCTAGTTCTTAATTCAATATGATTTATGTTTGTTTTAGAAGTAACAAATTCAATCTATTCATTTTTTTCACCCAGTCTTTTTAGCTATTTTAGTTTTTTCTTGTCTAAATTATTCAAAAGTCAAATGTTAATGTGTACATATTCAAAATACTATTTACCTAGAAATTTTTACTATAAATTATCATTAATTCATTCCAAAACCCAAGTGGTGAAGTTATTGGATTAGAGATAGCTGACTAACTGATTGATGGTTAACTACTTTTAAATGTGAATTTCTCCTCCATCATTAACTTCTGCATAATTTGAGATATTTTAATTATTATGAAGAGGAGTAGAAGCTATATAGGATAAATAAAAATCTACAATTCACAAACAATACACTAGGAAGGTGTTTTTGCACAATCAAATCCAAATGAAGTTTCACTGTCGAAAACAGTGAGCTTATGTAACACAATAATATTGTAAGTGACAGCTTAAATTTACAGAGTGCTTGTTTGAGTAACGAAATACAATATATGTACGTTTGAACTAAGCTATAATCTACAGAAAGGTTAACATTTTGGACTCGGAGTTTTATGGTATGACATGTGTAAACTTAGAGGTTAAATTAAAGGAAGAATCAATCTTTTCCCAAAGATCTTAATCAACCGAACTTCTGAACTCTATCATCCGATTTACTTTCTCTCTCTTATGCCTGTGAAATGTATATGGGATGTTGTGAAGTGACATAAGACTAAATAACTGTAGAATGACTGTTTTATTTATGTTAGTCTTGTTGTATAGTCAAATGCGAAGACGTACCTATATAAAGCGAAGATTAATAGAAAATCTCAACACAATAGTCGGTGAATGTCACAACATTTCTTGTCCAGCTTCAGTAGAAAAGTAATTGATAAAGAAAGGGTATTGTATCTAGTAAGTAAATGAAATAATGGTATATCTGTCTATTCTGTTTATTGAAATTACTCCAATCTCCACAAAACCCCTACTGATACTAATTGACATATGCTCAATAGTGAAGGTCTTCAATAGATATATCCTTGAGTTGTAGTGAGAAGCAGTGACCAGTGGAGTTCAACCGGGTCATTTGTGAGGTAGTAACTCACTGATGACAATGGTGGATGTGTCGCTCAATTTTGTGGATTGGTTGAAGTTAGACATTAACACTGTTGTATGCCGGCCAGCTCAGTGGTCTAGTGACTAGGTGCTCGCGCGCGAAACCAGTAGGTCCTGAGTTCGAACCTCACAGGGGGCGAGGTCGTGGATGCGCCCTACTGAGGAGTCTCACAATAGGACGAAACGGCCGTCCAGTGCTTCCAGGTTCCCCATGGTGGTCTAGCTTCAATCGACTCATGATCTCTACTGTTGAAATTAGTACAATCTCCACAAAACCCCTACTGATATTTTTTTATAACGATAAAGTTAGATGTGAGTCATAATAAGTTGTGTGATATGTTCTTAAGTAAGTAAAACCTAGCCAAGTCGGAAGTATTTAAGGAATCTGAAGGTTGTGAAAACAAAATCAAATCTAAATCAATTACATTAACTAAATCTTTCAAAAGAAAAACATAAAGAAAATGAATTAAATTAAACATGATACAAGATAACTCATATCCAAAATCAATATTTAATAGACCATTCCTTATAATTCCATTGGGAACATACGCTTTTGATTGGCTATTTAATATATAGAAATAATTCGTTTTTAGTATTGAATGTCAACTAAAATCGATAATAATCCATGTTCTTTTTTAATATAAAACTTATGAATAATATCATTAGCATCAATCTATAAATGCAGTGTCTTAGAAAGAATAATTTTATTTCCTGTTTCATAATCTATGGCATGGAAACAACATATATATGTTTTCTAATTAAAATGACAGTAGAAAACAAATTAGATAGTTACTAATATGTTATATTGATTTGAAGACTGTATAAAAGAAAATCGTAAATCACAGAGTAATGAATACAAATTTTAAACTGAAGAAAAAGATAAAATTAAAAAAATAATAAACGAAAGTATATCAGTAGTAATATTCCGTTTATTTCGATATTATCATAAAAAGATAATGTGGTTGAAATTTATCAGCAATGCAGGTACTAATTTGTCTTGCTTGTATAGAGATTATTTTTGATTTAGATTTAATTATCTAGTGATAATATACTTATATCCACTTTAGTTTGAACATTTGTAAAATTTTCGGGAAAGTCAACCATCTAGTTTTGAAGTATAACAATAAATGGTTTGAATATTGTTTACTGATGAAATCACCGTTTTCATTGAAACGCCTATATTTGTGTATTTTACGCTATGATAACTTAATAATTAAATGACTTGTTAAGTGAGACTTTAAATTTTTGGTTCCAAACGACTTAGATAAGTGCCACTAAAAAGCCCAAAACTAAGATGAAACAGGTACCCAGTGCTCTCCAGATTTGACTGATTTTCCACCAGATTTCAGCTTATGATTAGGCCTACCTTCGAAAAGCTTTTTTTTGTTAACTGGAGGTTGACGCGACGAAAACTTCTGATATATGTTATTCGCTAATCGTAGCCTGTTGTTTGTACCATGTTTCCGAAAAAATTTCCGAAACTAGTAAAATAGTGCTGTAAAACGAAATTCATATTTAATCAAAGCTTGCACATCATGTTTGTTATAATTTTACTATAAATTGCTTATCTTCACTCTAATTATATCCTTTACCGATGAGTCTACTAATTCTCATAATACCAATGTCCGTAATGCAGCCACGATATATACCAATATTGATTATCGAGTGTGAATTCCCTTGTTTTTAACCAGTTCAGTTCAAACACAAGAATGGTTTGCCGATTTGTTTTGTATTATTTTGGCTCGAAAACTTACATTATTGTATTCGTCGAACATAAGATCGTGACACATCACAAACAAATCTCAATCCATGCAAAACTACGATATATATTATACGAAATCAAACATGTACAAAATTAATTAGCTGCAATTTATGAACGCTAAAAGATATATCAACAATAGTTAGGGAGGAAAATGAAGGCTTGCGTAAAAAAAGCGTAAACCAGTTATTTAATATATAGATAATAAAAATATGTGTAGCAACATATCAGTGAATAGATCTATCCTTTTCATTTATTGGCATATTTTTAACAATATATTAAAAAGACTATTCTTTTTTACTTCATTAATTATTCAGTTGATAGAACAAATTCGTGATAAATCTGATCTTTCCGAATTAGATCTTTTGTATTGGACAAATGATCATATTGTTAAGTGGTTATCTGATTTAGGTTTAAGTGTAAGTTTTATTTTCTTTTAATTAATATTTTTTAAAGTATACCAAATTATCGGTGTGATTGAATCTCATTATGAGGACTACACTGAGGGCTATTTCGGTGATTTTTTAAAGTTATATTCTTTAATATTATCTGTTATTGATATATAAAGTAATCACATCCAACTTATTTCTTACTTTAGGGAAAAAATATTATGCAGATGGTTTTGAACAATAATACTTTTGATACTTAACATATATAAATTAAAAAAGAGGAATAAAACGTTCTGAAGAAAAATGGGACATTTTTTACCAAACATTAAAATTTCACTTTGTCTTACAGATTACCATGGATAACTGCATGATTACCAACAATTACCCACAAAGTTACCATTTATGACCTGCTTCAAACAACTGTTACTTGAATAATTTGGTCACGTTTTGAGATTAAATAGGTCACTAATAATCATGTTTTCTTTTCAATTAATTCAAGCAATTTCCTCCTGAGACTGACAAAAGCTCAATAATTTGTTATAGCGCACGTGATCTTGTTATTTACAATCAAATCCTAAACCTAACTGAACAGTTTATAACATCAGACTTTGTCTAATTTCGAATACAGACCTTACAAAATTGATCACTAATAATCAATCACTAAGTACCAATCAATAACCTACTTATCACTTCATTAAATGCAGATTTTATTTAGATTTTTGTCAGTTTAAAACATAACTTTTGAAAACGTCATATGTGTTTTTACTTTTCTGACGGTGCCAATTTTAGGGTAATATCTTTTTGGAATGCAGCTATTTAACAAAGTTTGGACAATTGTCTTGTTTTAAGCTTGCGACTCATATAAGATTCGTATAACTCACCATGTAAACTTCTTGAAGTTAGTTTTCATCAGATACTAGGCTGACTATTGTTTCTTCACTTTTGACGTAGAAATCCAGCTAACAAGCCTCGAATTGGATAAAATGCGCATTATTTATTCTAATGTTAGCTTCATCTCAAATGTACCGAAAACACCGGTGACTAAAAGATAATATCTAAAATGTCCTCTTAGGGTGCACACGTACCAATAAAGACTGAACGATTTCACTTACAAGCCTTGAAAAAATGTAAACAATAATGTATTAGTTGCTTGAACCTTCCCATTGATGTTTAGGACTGCAACTGACCAGTCTTTTATATGCATCCTGTGCGGATTACCTCTATATTGCCTTAATTCACAAGCATTATAAGCTGAGATGATGGACCAAAAAATATGATGAAGCTCGCGTCCTGGATACCATTGTTAACTATCGTCATCTCAGCTTGTAAACTACAATGTTTGGTATTATTTTGTGTTAAAATTAATATCATATATTGAGCAGAACTTTAAAAATTCATAATCAACGATTTTATTATTACGTCGCAATTAGGCATGATTAGGACATATTACGTTAAAGTATAAATTCATATCAAGAAATTATACATTACGCTTTTAACGTTAAATAATAAGAAAGGCGAAATAATAAATTGTTTAAAGTTACTTTTAACTAAATTATTAATGAGGTGAACTTCATAAGTTTTCTTGTTGGTATTTTGGTTAGCATCAACAATTTTTGTTCGAATTTCTGAGAAGAAAATACATCCGTATAATTGTAATATAATACTGTCAAAAAAATTAATGAAATATACAATTTATTAACAATAATCATTTTAACGTGAAAATAATTACAATTAAATTGTAGATAGTTTAAAAACACTCCAGCTAAGGTGAAATAATTTGAATTTAGTTATTTTGATGGAGTTTTGTTCTCTGAGCTGTATGGTTTGATCGTGGAGCTTTCATCGTTCTTCTGAACGACATCATCAGCACAAACTTTAGATAGAAGTGAAGCGTTCGAACTCTGAGAGAACAAAACTGCATCAAGATCATCCACATGAACTACTAATCTCCACCATCTCGAATTTAGGTATGTTTGATTTTCAGTTATTAACTTTTCTGAAGACTGAATAAATAAGTCCACATTGAGGTAGAGGACTCTTTAATGATTGTTTGAATATAGTCTGTACGTACAGTTTGATTATGCTTATTGAGTATGTCTCTTTGCCGTAAAATTCATTATAATTTTTTATCTTTCTTTAGAACAGAGTATATAAATGTGAACTTAATAAGTAAATAAACAGCATAGTGTTTACATTATTTGTAATGAAATATTCATAAACCAATTGATTATTTACATTATTATTATTATTACTATCATTATTATTATTTATATCACTTTCTAAATAGGATTTTGTGCACGGAATTGATGCAAGTGGTTTACATGGTGCATATATGGTACTTGATTCAACGTTCGATTTTAATACATTGATTAAACGTTTGCATATACCATTGAATGTTGCAGTTTTGTGTAAATTAGAGGAGAATTTACAACGAATATTGAAACCAGCTAGGTAAAGTATCAATAATATATTATTATTTTATGTATTTGCTTAAAGGGAAAATCCAATTTTATTTATTCATAATCTACTTTCATAGTTATAGGTCGATAAATATTTTTCTTTTTTTAACAATAGACTATTCATTTCATATATGTTCACACTGTCATCAGCACGAGTTGCATTACTGTCTGGTTGTATGAAAATTCGGTGAAATTTTAGTTTATAAAGTCAATCATGATTTTTTTGTAAAACAACATTCATGAATTTGAAATCTGAAAATACCATAAAGGAATTATTGTCTATTCTGTTTAAAGCTAAATCACACATTAGATTGCATTCTTTTTTTATGGGGTCTTATCAAGTAAATTTGTTTAAATAAAATATTCGTTTTTAAAACTGTGCTTACAAACAGACCAGTGTTTATTTTAACGATACTAGAGAGTTTATCACATGAGAATAAAAAATAGATAATTCAGAGATGAAATATATGTCAACCATTATATTTACGATTAAAGGTATCGGATGTTAGTTAACAGTGGAGTTTTTTGACAAATATTTCACTCCATTTATGACTCGCCACCTGAAAGTTTCGATTTCCCACTTTTAGTGTTCCTGTTGCGGCTCGGACGTATCACTCATTATTATAACCGGTTGATTGTTATTCATCGGGTCACTTTTTATTTACTAAATATCAGTTGTGATTAAATCTTGTTACTTACACTTGATGATTTCTTTTACAAAACCGTGTCGATGCGCTTTGATTGGGGTGTAGCGTTTTTTACAATTATTTTAACAATAATAGTTATTACTTGATACTCTGTATAGCCTTATCAAGGCTGTATTTAGTGATACCTGTAAATAGAATTAAGATGCAGTATGATAGTACAAATTTAAACAGAATTCTGAAAATCAATCTATAACAGGAAGTCATAGACAACCAACAAGCCGCTTATAATTTGCTATAAACAAACTTAGTTTTATAAATCACAATGGCTGATATCAATTTTATACTCGAGTTGGAATTCTGTGCTTTTATTGATATCTAAGGAAATGTTCTTTATTTAGTAACTATTATAAGATAATGACATGTAATTGCTGATTCATAAAAATAGAACTTGGTTTTTTTAATGTGCTACGTGATATCTATAAAAATGTGGTTTATCGATTTTTTTTACTCGAGCAATGCTTCACGACACTTAACTATCTCTGTATATAGTATTACAGTTCGTAATTCATCTTTAACGAAAATTCATATGAAAAAATATGATTCCATTTCCTGTGGGACTAGAATGATGTTTTTACACTGTTTAGTCGATTAATATCAACTTACCTATTTCATTTTGTTCAATAATAACTATTAAGAACGTCAGAAAGTTGTGGCAATAAATTAAATGAATTAGCGTTTTAGTATGTTTACTTAAATGTTTATTTAGGTGCTGCCTTTTTTTATATTGACTTATGTTTTGAACTTATCATATCAGAAGTATTTTTAGTTAAAATAGTGTGATCCTAATGCTTTTTCATCAGGTGGTTTTGCAGGGATCAAAATAGGTGAAGATAACCGACTGTATGTAAATCCAAAAGTAAAAAAATATGAGAACCATAAACTGAATGCTTCATTTTTGGATTTCTATCACATGTCAGTCACTTTCTGTATTTTATTTCAGTTCACGATTCCTTCCCATTTTTTCTTCTATTCTATTGAGCTCGATCTTGTTAGCCTTCTGCTGACAGGTTTTTCGCTTCCTAATTATGTCGACAGACGTAAGTAGCGTACACCACAGTTCTATAATAATGTGTCCACATATTTAATGTTGAAAAAGGTTACTGTAAAGTTAACGAACGATTCCAATTATACAAAAACTTAAGTCTACGTTCTACTAAAGAGCTTAAAAAGTCCAGAAGCTCAGTAAGTTTACAATACATCTTTTAAATCATAAAACATGATTAAAAATAAATATGTGTAAAAGTTTGACGGATCAAAATTTGTTTGCACAGTAAAGCATATTTACTGGTGCTTTGAGATGAGCTACGTAAAGTTCAAGTAAAAAGCTGTGACTAATTGAGTCAATCAAGTTAGGAGTGAAATACTTACAGATGATTTATTCAGAATTTTAAATGTAGACTACTGGGTTCGACTTTGTTTTCTAAGGGTATCATGTTCGTTTCGAGGCGTGTAGGTTCTGGAAACTCCTATGGAGAGTCATGAGAGTACACTTTTGAAGATTTCCGAACAAAAAGAAGTAGCAAATTGTTACCTTTTTCGTTAGTTTTTAAAAGATTTCAATTTACGATGAAAATAATCTTCGAACTTTTGCGTCCTCCCCACAAAACACAGATGGTATATTTGTATATTTAGTCAAAAGAGGACATTAGTAATTATTATCTCTTCCTTTCCCCATAACTATTTCATAAACTGAATAATTATATGCAGATAAATCTTACGGTTTACATATTCTCTTCATGATGGGTTTCACGCCATTTTGTTTTGTGCTAAATTGTTTTTAGAAACATTTGTTAACAAATCAAAATGAGTGATTTATTTTCATGTTGCAAGTCAATTTACTTGTCTACATGCAATATTCACTTATTAACAAAGATTATTAAATGCATGTGATTATGTAGACCCTAAACTTTAATGCCATTTTAAACATTTTAGTCTATAGTTAGATATCTGACAGTTCAAAATACTAAACTTTTCAAATTTTTCACAGTGTCATTTACTGATAACTTAATCTAAAAGCAATAGAAATTGCATATTTCATTTTATACACTGCATATTTTATAATACGTTAATCAGTTCAATTAACTTCTATTCAGTAGAAAAGCCATGTTACATCATGAACTGATTAATTCTTATCTACTGAAATTAAATATTGTGGCTCATAATCTAATGTCCCAACTAGACAGACATCAACAAAAAGCCTGGAATTTATGTGGGTTGACCGTAGTTGGCATACCTGACAAGATAAAGCAACAAAATTGATCGAAATTATGTAGTAGTGATGACAAAACGAAGGACTGTGCCTTGAGAATATCGTTTAAAAACATAGAGTGTAAAGGTATGTATGAAGAAATGCTGGAACTAAAGCGCGAGAGAAAGAAGAAAAGTGAATGGATTTGTGTCACTTTGAATGATTCTGAGCCAGTTCACCCAACGTCTGCAACCATTGACTCCAGTTATGATATGGACCCTAAAGAGCAGTCTGCATCTACCGAGATGGCTTAAACCAACAATCAACGGCTTCATTGGCTGATGAGACGTTTTGCTAAGGCCCCCTAGCTTTCTTTAAATATACTTCTACATTGGCAAGCCTCACTGATTGAGGTAGGTAGTGGTTAGGCGTTCGTAACACATATCTTAGTCACCTCGACCGATGAATACTTATTACTTGATCAACCGACTTGGCCCATTGGTCACGTACTGTATGCTTAACTTAAATAATACTCACTTGGTCGTTTCACAGAACACGAACAATGCTTGAAAGATACCCCTGATCAAATACCTTGAGCCTACGTATATTTTCTATTTCGTAGGCTGTCTCACAGCCATAAATTAGGACAGAGCGGACTGATGTGAAGCATACATGACCTCTGGTTAGAGTATGGAGATCTCGCATATGCCACAAGTGACGCAACTTGGCAAATGCCAGCCAGGCTTTCTGTATTCGTGCCAATATTTCGTCAGATATCACCCCACAAGAACTGATGACAGTCTCAAGATAAGTAAAGCGGTAAATCTAAAGATAAGGTTTTTATTTTAATGATACGTAGTGTGCAATACAGAGAACTATAAATATGTGTCAAAAAGTTTATAGTTTTATATCATTGACTGATTTTAGTCAAACAATCGTAGAAAACATTGGAGTACTGTTCTGGTATCGAAATCCTCGGTAGAATACATACACTGCAACGCCAGAGGTCGAAACGCGAACTTTCATTATGCGAAGTAAATGATATACCTCCAGAATATTACATAACATCTCAGTATCCTGGGGACAGTTCATCGTAGCTCTGTATGGTAGTCCTTGGTTTTTCCTTCAGTGCGATTGTAGATGGACACTGATAATGACTTCGATCTTAAGACGAACTAATACTTCCATGTTTTCAGTAGTTATCTGACGGACATTATTTCACAATTGAAACTAAATATTTGACAAGCCCAACAACCTCGTATATTAGTAAATCAGAAAACGTTTTTAGAAGTTAAGAATCTTTCTTGTATCTTTCATCTGATCTTATTTTTTAACCTGGAGTACCGTTACATGACTAAATATTAGCGGAAATGATTTATAACCTACGGATGAAATTGTGACATTTTGATCACTATTTTTTCTAATTTTCCTCAATTTGTTAGTTCTTGTATATGACACCACTTAAAATTTTCTGTCAGACTGTTTCTTAAGTGTACCAATGAAATCATTATTCTGTCAGGCTTTCTTTAGGTCAGGTAGGCAGTTAGTGGCGAGGAAGTTTATATTCTAAATCTGCTTTATTTGCGATTTAAACTAGCTGATATTACTGCCATCTTATTGCAAAATGAGTACATAAACAGAACTAGATCACTGATCTAATATTTGAATAAGTCAGTATTATAGTACCTTGAATGTACTTTTTGTTTAAAATATTAGTCCCTTTCTAAGCAATGCAATGAAATAGGTTTCCGCTTGTTATACTAATCTATTTATTAATTTAACCTCAAGGACTGACTGGATAGAAAACCGTTGAAAACCAGAAGTATTTAGACAGCTAATTATTTCTCGTATGCTACTCCTAAAAAAGTGCGGATTCACGACTTCGCGACCTGCAATCGAACCCAAGAACTTCAGGCCTCACTGAGATATCCTAACTTTCAAACCAATGACGTGTTTGCTGGTTTACATTTATAACTTTACTTAATTCGCAGTATTGATCAAGTATCATTCAATGGTATTTTTGGGTAATTACCTCGCTCTTATTTTGATTAAATTCTAATGGTCACGGTTTTTTGAGCACTTTAGATGCAATCGGAT